CGTCGCCTTTCTTAATAACTCTCGCCTTCTCAGTTACATTGGCAACTCTCACCGGGATAACCATTCTCGATAGGTCGACGAGTGTTGAGGCTACTAGTACTCCTTTCGGGCTATTACAGTTATTGGGATATTCTATGATGCCGTAGCGGAAATCTCTGTTTTCGGCTATAGATCCAGGGAGTAAAATTTCTGTTCTTGCCGGTATTGTGAATATTGTCTTGTGCTATGATTCTGTGGACAGATTTAACTTCTTCATTATTAATTCCAAATAACGTTATGTCCTCAGACGCAGAATGCAATTCGTTATTTTTAAAGTCCAAGGAAAAATTGTATTTCCTTAGAAAGTCCAATTCGAGTATGCAAGAATCAGTGATCTCTGCTACATATGCCGTGTGATGGTAAGCGGCACTTCCAAACGTGATGTTAACATTTACTTTCCCATTGATGTCGATCTTCTCACCGGACACAGTCTGTAGGGTAACGCAGGGCGGCGTCCAGATAAGTTTGCTTTCCAGTTGTTGAGCCAAATCTTTTCGGATGATGGTAACGGTGGCTCCTGTGTCTATCGTCATATTGCAGGGGACTCCGTTAATATGTCCTATTATGAAAAGTCCATTACTGCCGCCTCTCACTGCAGAAATCTGAAGCGCTTTAAACTGGGGCTTTTCATTATCTGGCAACCTCCGCCCCGCGAGATGGCCACTAATTAGTTTCCCTGCTGCTTGTTAGAAGCGGTCTTAACATCCGTACCCTGGGGTATTCTGCAGTTTCGTCGTATGTGTCCTTCAGCACCGCAGTTCCAGCACTTAACGGTCGGTTTCTTATCACCAATATTCCGTCTCAAGTCGTTCAGTTGTCTAGTTAAATCGTCTAGACGAGCGGTGACTTGATCCCCTGGCTCCTGGACTTGAGCAGCTCTGACTGGGTGGCAGTCTCGACGAGTGGCTTGCTGGGCTGCCTCGAATTTCATGGCGTACACTAGAGCGCTTTTTAAATCTTTTACATCCGCCATTCGTAGAGCTTTTTGTATTTCAGTATCCCGGATGCCATCGATGAAATATTGCAGGGACAGGATTTCCCTTGTTTCTGTTGGGCACTCCGAAAAGGCGTGATGTGACAGCGTTTCAACATCCGTGGCAAGCTCCTGAAGTGATTCAGTGGGCTTCTGTTGACGGGATTTTAATTGAAGCCTGCTGTAGTCTTTTAAACATTTCTCGCCAAAGCGCAGCTCCAAAGCGCCGGACAGAGCTTCGAAATCTAACCTTTTGTTTTCGGGAAGAGTCTGAAGGATATCCGCTGCGTCGGCTCTTAAAGAAGCGGCGAGATGACAGGCCTTAGCTTGGGAATCCCATCCATTCGCATCCGCAACGATAGAAAACTGGGTCTTGTACACTTGCCAGGATGTCTTCCCATCATATGTGGATAGCTTCAGAATGGACGAGCAGGCATCGGTAAGAATTTAAAATCATCATTCTTGCTCCCTGCCGTCGCTACGAATTTCTTTAACGTTTCCATTTCTTTTGGCAACTGCAGAAACTCTCTCATCAATTTGTTGTTCAACTTGGTGTTGGACGGCACAAACTCTTCTTCAATTCGTTCCTCCACAGCCGAAACTCTCCCTTCTATATGTTCTTTTACAGAAGAAACTTATTTTTTCTATTTCTTCTTTCACCGAAGAAACTCTTTCTTCAATTTGATCTTTTACAAAAGAAACTTTTTCTTCAATTTGTCCAACTTTATTTTCAACTGTGTCAATTCTGCCTTCCATAGCTTCAAATTTATTTTCTATTATGCAGGTAATTTCTCTTTTCATTTCTTCTTGACATGCTTCAATCTTTTCTTGACCAGCTTGAACGGCTTTCATTTCTTCCTTAACGGATTCCTGGCCCAATTTCATTTCTTCCTTAACGGATTTGACGGCCCCTTCCATCTTTTCTTGGAAAGCAGCAAATGCAGTCATCATTTGCCTGAATTGTTTTTCCATCGCTCTTGTTATTGGCATTCAAATCCCACTTCTGACACCAAAAATTGTTGCGTGCGTACGGGTTCGTTATGAAATGAATGCACAAGTCCGATGAAAAAAAAATGAACAAAAATTTTATTATTATCACAACAAAAATGCTTAAATTTTCTGAAATTATCATGCAGTATTACAATATCTCACAGTAGTTTTCTTTTAACTACTCAAATGTCCAATAGAACGTAATTCAAAACAGCTAAAGAACGCTAATCCGCGAATTCGCTACAATCAACAACAGTAGTTTTCTAAACAACAACAAACTAAGCAACTACTACAAACTGAGATGTTTTCCTCCTTTTATAAGATTTTAAAATCACACGCTAGAATTTTCCAGTACTTTCTCGAAATCAAAAAGAGATATTTATTTATTTAATGCACGCGCTCTTGTATTTTCAATTTTCCGGCTTAGCTTTCTTTTAATATTCGTCATGCGCTGCACTGCGCGAGGAATAAAACCATTTAATTTATAATTGAAGTAACATTAGGTTTTTAAATACCAAATTCGTAACAATATTTTGCCGCATGTTTCATGGTCCTAAATTCTGCTACCAAGCACCTCCCTAAGTTCTAAATTTTTGCCGCCCTCTTAATTTTGGGTCCCAGTGCTTTCCCTATATTCTAAAAACTTTATCATCTCTTAAATTTTGTTACTTGGTGCTTCTCTAAATTCTAAAAATTTTGTCTTCCGTAAATTCTGCCACTTGGTGCGGACATACAAGCTCTGGCGCCGATTCTGGGTTTATGTGAATAAAAAATCAGTTTTGGGCCTATGAGTATCATTAACAAAATCTATTTTTAGCATACAAAAAGAAATTTTTGTTAAATGGTTCCTCGTCAACATTTATTGCATTTAACTTAAATCTGTAATCATTGGCAAGCGTAATGTCAACATGTCTTTGTTATTCAATTGCAAATACAAAAACAAATTGTTTATGCATCGCAGCACGAGGTATTGCTCAAGTTATGTTTATAAACATTTGGAGATGAAAGCAAAATGTGATTAATAATGACTTGCCAAGTTGGCGGCAGGGATATAAAGTATTAGTAGTTGTAAAATCAATGTTTCTATGTAGAATGTTTTGGTTTGAGATGTATGCCACGCAGATATGCAGCTACGAAGCCAACTTATTGATCATACGAATTTATGGTAAAAAGTCATTATATCTTCTATAAGGAGGTATTTTATTTAGTGCCAAAGTGATATTAAGAATTGGGATTCTCCATGTTTTCTTACGTAGGAAAAAATCAAATGCACATGTCTAAAGCATAAAAAAAATCCTCCTGTCCCAAATTTTTGTTGGTGGCTTTAAGGTCCGGTTTTAGATCATTCCGAATATTGAATGTCCAGATCTCGGACTTTGTATTGTATATCTTTAAATGTAACTGACTGTAATACTTCCATGACAGCATTTTCAGATATACTGTTAATTAGAATTAGTTTTATCATTATTTATCATTAGTTTTATCATTGAAGCCAATAATACTTCACTGACTCTGCCAATTTATAAAATTTTATACTAAATCTTGTCCTATTTTTGATGAATTAAATTTTTTTTTTGTAAGATATGTGTTCCTTAAAATTCAGTATTTTTTTATTATTTGCAGTGTTTTCTTTCATTGTTTACACATCTTTAAATTTTTGATTAAAAATATTTGTAATAGATTTTATTTTATGTAGTTTATCTGTATTTCCAATAGTGTTATTTGCAAAATGCGAACATCTAGTTATTTACAGAAATCTCTTCAATGGTGAAATTTTTCTTAATGTATTCTTTCATTTATGTGATGGCTTTACCAAATCAGTTCATTTGAATTCTTGATTTCTTAACTTAAGCTGTTAGTATACATGGGGCAAATTATATTTTTATTTCATCGCGATTTACAGAAATCCAAGTTTAGTAGATTTTTTTTTAAGTTGTTGATTAATGTGGTCTTCACAGTTATTATTTTTAAAATTCTTAATCGAATGGTATCATTATAGTGTCTTTCAATCTTTCTTTCTTTCTTTTTTTAGAAATGTAGTTTTCTTAGTGGTCAAAAATTATTTTAAAATAATATTCTTCTCCTTGGTAGGAAAGCTTTAGAGCATGCATTTGCATTATAAAACTAGATAAAGTGTAATAATTTATTACTATCACATTATAAGATGATCATTTTACTCTTTTAATTTTGCATATTAGTTTAATAATGAAATTTCAAAATTTGATAATTTTTCTTTGTTTGGTAAACTTTGAACCAAGATTTCATTGCACTCTTGTAAAAATCTTGTAGGCCAGCATTGCAGTCTTGTAAAAGAGATATGCATCTGAAAGAAAATACATCAAGGTTATATGCAAGTTTTTCAGTTGTAAAATAAATCTTTTCAGTGAAACTACTGCTTATTTTGTAAATTAAGTAGTAGCCTTTTTTGGCTTCCCCCCTTTTTTTACTGTATGTTTTTTAAAAATATATAAAAAAAGCTGTATCATGTGATCATTTCTGCATATTAAAATAGTTACAGGCAAGACAAAAGTGAAAAGTAGCATACCTTTTGCCGCTTCATACATGAAAAGCAAAGCTAAAAGAATGTATAGGCATGGCAAAATCAATTTGGGACATAAGTTTGGCATGGTTGTTAAGGGGTCAAAAATATTTTTTAATATGGATTGCTAAAATTAAATCATTTAAAATTTAGTATAAATTTGCAATAAAATTTATGTGCATCGAGTACTTTTGCATAGAATTTGCTCAACTAGGTGTTGAGTAGTGTATGACAGTTAAGATCATTGAATTGTTAGACTTTTTAAATATTAAAAAAATTAATCTGAATTCAGCTTTTGTGAAAGTCTGTAAAATATTTTGAATTTCTTATGCATCAATTTTAATGCTTAATATTTTTATTTTGTATTTCATTTTAATATTTTATGCTGTTATAATTCAGTTTAAAGTATGTTTTGATAGTAAAATTCTATGCATAAAATATTTCTTTTCCTCCCCTCAGCATTTTAATCCAGTGACTGATGCAGTTATGTTTGCTACTGATCTGCGATATCGGCGTTTAGGTTTCACAATTGATGACCTTGGTTGCTGTAGAATTATATCTCATGCAATTTGGGGCACACATGTATTTGTTGGAGCTATATTTACAAATGCATCTTTAGAAAGTAGTGAAATACAGGAAATTGTGGCTGTTCATAAACCAGTACATAGTCCCTCTAAAAATTAACTCAGTTTTTTGAGTTATAAAATTGTTATTAAGTTATATTAAAAACCATATGTATTTTGATGTAAAACTTGTGTCTTTCTTTGAATTTGAAACAACTTGTGTATTTACTGGTTTTAAGGTATCAGATATCTGTCAAAAATGATACAATTTTAAATGCATGACTTTCCATCAATTTACAAAATGTATACATAAACATTTTCTTCAGTAAAGTGATGTGATGTTTGTATAGTAATTTAATATATATTAGTCAGTCATTAGCATAAACACATTGTAAACATTTATATTGTATTGTAATACATTTGAAAAAGATCTGTGATCTTTTTCCTCTTCATAAATAAGTATTGTGAATAAAATATTAATAGTAAAATTATCAACCTAAATGTACAGATTTTGTAGTCGAGACTCTTTGCATTTTGTATAAGTCATTAAATTTTATATTTATGTATCTTACTGTATATGTTGAAGCAGCAAATGGGTTCGCTGCATGGGCATTTTTGTTGTTTTCCCCATCAGTTAGCTCCTCCTAGAAAGTTAATGGAGAGAAGGTAGATAGCCCTAGTGTGCCTTGTCACCATCAATATAAATGTTTCAAACCAAACCAGCTAAGGCATCACAGAGCAGAGCAGGAATTCTCACTAAAGATCCCATAAATTGCTATCTAGCTAAATTCAGATTTTTCACTAGTAGGACTCTGTAGTTAGCAAACTAATTAAATTAATTTTTACTAATTCATTATCCCATGCTTGACCCACAAAGCAAATGGATTTACAAGTTAACTAGATCAAAAGACATTACAAAAAATGTAACACTGTTGACTATTCAGTGATTTTACTATAGCTATTTTTAAACACTATTTATGTTTTTTTTTTTTTTTTTTACTTAAATCTTCTAGTCCCTCATCATCCTAGATTAAAACTTTTTCTAATACTTCTTGCAGCATATGCATTCTTGCACAGCATAAGAGCTAAGTACAGTGTACTTTTTGATTATCTGGGATTATGCTCGGGAAACAGGTCATGGATAGTGCAAACTATCAATTCTCATGAATATTATAAGTGTTTATTTCTTAAAAAAATCAGCAATTACTTTTTTTGAGAATGTTTAAATATTTTTTGAATTTTACTGTGTATTTTTCAAAGTGCTATTTTATCATTCCAGTTTTTAATCTTTAAAATATTAAGATCTTTTTGATACAATCAATCCATCTTGGGGGGTCTACCCCCGAGGTTTATTACCCATGAACTTTGCCAGAAAGATTTTCTTAGAGCAACGATCTTCATTTGTTCTAGCCAAATGGCCAGCTTATTTAAGTCTCTGTAATTTGACAAATTTTACAATATCAGGTTGTTTGTAAATTTTATAGTGTTCTTAATTAGATCTTCTCTCTATGATCCATTCATTTGGACCCCCACCAAGAATGCAACGTAAGATCTTTCGCTCAAAAATTCCCAGAGCTTCCTCATCACTTGAAGTCAATGCGCAAGTCTGTGATGCATAAGTCAATACAGATCTTTTTTTGTAAAAAAGCAATTTAGTTCTTAATTTAAGAAAACTTGATTTTAAATAACAATTTACAATGTCAGCGAAATGAAAAATTTAGTCTTTGTATGCTTGCATGCTGCGACACACGACTAGGCTAAGGTTAAACATAATACAGGGTTCGTATGGTCCTTAAGAGTCCTTAAAAGTCCTTGAGTTTTTTGGAATTGATTTTTGGTCCTTAAAAGTCCTTAATTTCGGCCAAAATTGGCAGAAGGTCCTTAATTTTAATAATGTGAAATTTCTGTCTGTTTTTACGACTGCCATTCTAAGTGTGAATTAGCATTTTGCAGCAATATTTTTGGCGATTCACTGACAAATATGTTTATTTTTTGAATGGGTTCATGGATTATAATTTGTTCCTATTTGTAATATAACTGGTGGGATACTCGAGTTTCTGAGCAAGAAGTGAAACATAAGAATTTTGAAATTATTTCATTTTTTGTAATGAAAAGCTCTCAAACAACTTTCCGCTTTTGTGGATGTGAATTCTTTTATTAAATTTTTCTAAATTTGGTGACTTATCGATATTTTGGCGATTTTAAGATCGGTTTCTGTGGAAAATTTTTAATTCCGAACTCTGGGAAATTTTTGGCGACTTTTTTAGAACATTGTAACACTGATAAATTTTATTAAAAGAATGGCAATGTATTGGAATTATATTTAAGAAATAACATTAAAATAAAGCATTTTTATTTTTCACTGTCATATTATAAAGTTCCATTTTGGCCACATATTATGCAATGTTTTGAATCTGAATTGTGTTATAAAGCACAATTTACGAAACAGTTTTTAGCAAAATAGCTGTGTAATTAATTATAAACGTCTTTTTAATTTTTTCATGGTAAGAGTTTTCCCCCATTTCTCAGAATGTGCATCAGTTTTCTTTTTCTCTACTTTTCACAAGACTCAAGCATGGAAAATATCAAAAATGCTTCTAATCTTATCATATGGACAGGCATTTTAGAAAGAAATTTTGTTATTAATAAAGAAATTGGAAACTGGCAATTCAAAAGATTCATCTAATATATCTTAATGCATCATACACAGGGCTGGCGCTAGGCATTTTGACACCTAATGCAGTCTCTGTGGATCCTAAATTCTGCTGCTTGGTGCGTTTCTAAATTCTGCTTCCAATGCCTGATCTAAATTCTAAAAGTTTTGCCATTTCTAGATTTTGTTGCTCGGTGTGTTACTAAATTCTAAAAATGATGCCTCACCAGCTCTGACCGGACCTTACCATATGTATTTCATATTTCTTCTGAATGTTCGTATTACTAAATATATAAATTAGTAGCTTTCCCATACATTATAAATGCATTTAGCTTTTCAGAACAGAAATCTTTAATTAAATCCAAAAATTTTAAAGTGAAAAGGAAACGTATTGAAGAAAGGAACTAAATATGTGAAGCGAAAGAAAATTGATCTTCAAGAGATATATATACAGTTATTATTATGTAAATTACTACCCAGTTGTTTAACAATTTCAGCCTTTACTATAATTTCTCATCCCATTCTTATTTCCTCACCAGAATGCTAATCACTAAGACAGTTTTTAAACTGAGGTTTTTGAGTGTAAGACAAGTGTGTTTCTTTCTGACCTCCTGCTTGCTCCCTGTATTAGTTCCTATCAGCTCTGATAATTTGTAGTTATTGTCTTTCCATTACTTGCTGCCGACATTTGAGTTTATTATGACGATATATGAGTTATTGAACCAGATTAAATTGAAATTAAATTGAACACTTGTCTTTGACCACTAGTCCATATTTTTAGTGTGAATTTGACTCTTCTTGTTTAATTACATCACCACGAGCTGTAATTGATTTTGTTAGCATAAGAACATGCCTTTATGTTCTAAGTTCTTTTTAAATAAGAAGCTTATTTAAACCTCTGATTTATAGTTACTTTTAGACGTAGCCATAATTTGTTTCACGTCTGTCGGGGAGAGTGAACTATTTAACTTCTACCACATGAGGTAAACCCTCATAGGTAGTACATTGTGGAGAGGTTGACAGTTAGGAGATAAAACAGGCAGAAACTAATGAGAACATTGTTTTGCGTATTGAGACAAATTTCTTGAAAAATTGAGACAAATTTAGAAAAGATGCTTAAGGAGAAGGAAATCGATATAAATTAGCCAAAATGTCTGAGCAGGGCTTCAAATTAAAAAGACGCATAATTATTTTGTTTTGTTGCTATAAAATATAAATGTTTAATGTGTAATTATCCTAACATTGTTTAAAATTCAATGTCGTAAATTGCATGTATTTTAAACTGTGAAATTTTATTAGATTATGATATTAATAGGGTTTTTTTTAACAAATATTATTAAAAAATAAATTTAATTTGATAGTGTCCATGTAAATCCATATGACTAAGGTTATCTAGTACCTAATTTAATTACTTATAACTAAGTTAGCCTTAAAAATTATGTTTGCTTATTAAAGTTAGTTATTGCCTTTCTTTAACCTTTACAGTGATCACAAGGTAAAACACAAAAATGTAAAAATTCATGTAAAACTTATTCTTCACATCTAGTGAAACTTAAAATAATAAAAAACAGCTTATCACCTCTAGTGCTTTAGTGGCTTAATAGAACCTTAAAGTATATTAACTGAGTTACAATCCCTGGAACTCTACATGAAGCTACGGCACTAACTGCGTCAGAGCTCAGCTAACTTTTAAAACTTACTAACTGTGCCTACATCAGGCCTTTCAGGTTTGTTCTGATTAGCAGGTCTCTCTCTAGGCCAGCAGGAGCGGTGACAACAGCCAGTCTTTTGTTATGAACCATGCTGATTATGATTTTAATGCTCATTTTAACATATGCTGCGTGACATAAAACCAACTTACTATTAACTAAACCCCTAGATTGAGCAAGTATGTGACAAAATGAGACATTAAAAATAAAAAAGCTGTTAGTAAAACGTAACTAAAATGTCAAAATATGTCTAGTTATTTATAAGTGTAAAATATTTAATGATACTTGATAAATTTGATAATATTTATTTTATTCTCAAACGCATTAATAATTATGTTAATTAAGCTATGTTTAAAAATAATGCATCCTACTTACGAATCTCTTTTATTTTTAGGAGGCTATTAAAAAGTGAAGTTAAGGCATAGCTATAATATTTTTAATTGAATTTATTCAGTTCCCATTTGCTCACAGGTCCTTAATTTTTTTTATTAATGGTCCTTAAAAGTCCTTAAAAGTACTTAATTTCTGTGTGCAGAAATGTATACGAACTCTGTAATAATTGTTAGAACTTTTATATCCAACTCCCCGAATCAATAAGTGCTTTTACTTTCCTTGAGTAGCTAGTTAATAAGCTGGATGTATAGAGCTATAGAACTAATATTTCTAAACAGATGGAGACAAATTAACCTATGGCTCGTAACATGTTATTTGCACTTGTCATTTAGATCTATGTCACATCAATCCAAATCATTTTAAATTTTGCAAAACATTTCTGTGTTCTTTTCATATGAAAAAAGAGTAAAAAAAAAAATATAATTTTGAATTTTAATTAAGATTATACTACAAACTATGTCATAACAAAAGGCAAAAGAAAAGTGATGGATGAAGGACATAGATTTCAAGATAAATTTTAAATTATGTACTTTTGTGGTGGTTGTGTGCAATAAAATTGTTTAAAAAAGAAAAAAAAAGGGGGGGGGAAGAGTTACCTTTTTAAAAGCTGGCTCACAACAACGAAAATGATTTTAAAGAAGAAAATAAATCCAGTTCACAGTAGTTTTGGCTGTCTTGGACATCATTTAAAAAATATCAAAACCATTTAGTGATAGTGAATTTGTTAAAGACTGTT